AAGCAGCGCAAAATTTCAGGAATCCATGTTACATATTATTTTCCGTAGGTATAACAAAGGTATTTACATTGTGTTTTATATTTTACGAGCCGCTATCATACGCCGCTATTTTGTTGTTTCATTTTCTACTTTTCAGTAATTCATAATTTGTGAATTTGACAGTAACAATGCTGCCACTGAAAATATTTGCTTTAAAACACTATCAGTAGCTCGTTAAGGACGATAACCCCCCCCCCTCCCCACCCTCCTTTCCCAAAAATCCTACCCCCCCCCCCCTCCTCGTGAAAGCAGCCCCCTCTGAGTTACCTCCACTAAGTTTAAAATCGTTTCAAACTAAATTATCTGCCCCTAATAGCTGTCACTAAACCCGGCTCTACGATTGTAAACATTTAGCTTGAACCACAGCTCACCAGACCATGTAGGGATGGGGGTGGTAGGGATAGAGAGAAAGAGAGGGGGCTGCTAGGGGCGCTTACAGCTTGGTGTTTTCTATGGTATCCATGAAGAGAATTATTTATATAGAAGAAATATATATTAAACCAGCGTACCCGTCCCGCGCGTTGCTGCGGTCTCAGAAGACAGAATGACGCAATATTTTAAGAGGATTCCACAATTATATTAGCAATCACGTATTTTTTTACGCTTGACATTGATTTCTAAATCTAAACAATTTAAATGTAATCAAAGCCGGTGTTATATTGCTTTCATCATAGTTGTTGAGGCGCAAATTCTACCGCACACAGTAGCCCATTGTATCCATAATGTATCGCACTCTTTAAAACGAACGTAGGCGCAATAGTGTTTATGAGGGACCCACACAGGGGCGCTAGACCACACGCCAGTGGTGCAGTAGACAAAAAAATTTCCCTACTGTAGGGCGCTCTTTTAAAACTCATAGTGTTCCTCCCGAAGCCAGTGGCGCATCGGGTCAAACGAATTGTCATCGAATGTCGTGTGCCACAGGGTCAATATTGTAGAGTGCTCTTTAACACAACCTTAGGATATCTCAGGGCGCCAAATCGCTTCCTGCCGGGGAGCCGGCAGACGCGTCTGATTCCATATAGTCAAAAATTATTGTTGCCCATCGTGTCTTTAGTGTATAAATTTAAAAAAAAAACGAACGTAGGCGTCATAGTGTTCACATGGTAGCACGGGGCGCTTCGGGTTACGTAATATCCGGGGCGCCGGCGGCTGCGCCTGTTGTTGCTTTTTTACCTTAGCCCCCATGCAGTTTTAATATCACCGCCCTGGATTTTCAGGCGCCAAGCCGTTTATTAACAAAAATCGCACCCTCCAGGGAAACGCCCATAATAAATTTTAATTTTTGTTTTCGCAGAAACCTTCTCGTGAGTGTTTTCATTAACTCTCGAAAGTTTAACGGCACTCAGATAAACGATGTCAAACAGCATCTGTTTTGTTTTTTACAAACTGTGTAGAGAAAAATTGCACCCCCCAGAAGCGCCGCCCTGTTAAAATAAAAATAAAAATAACCTCCCCTGAAGTTTTATGGCGAGTGGATGAACGGGATTAAACCGCAATCTACTTTTACGTATATATACCCTATATAGGGATCTATATATAGAATCGATTCGCGCCCTGCTGGGGCACCGTGCTTGTGAAATATATCCAGTGGTATTCTTAACTTAAGTTGCATGGCCATAGGATGAAAGGTGTAGTGCTGCATAGAGGACATAAACAAACCCACAAACAAACAAGCAAAACTTCATTATATATATACATAGAGAGAAATATAAATAATTCTACATATGCATATATATATATATATATATATATATATATATATATATATATATATATATATATATATATATATATATATATTTATAGCTACATTTGGTGACTTCCCATTTTCCCCAATGGCGTCAAATTTTGCACATAATCCACCTATTAATTCATGTGAAAAAAAGCATCGTTTTCATCGTAAATTATTAGATTTTGGTATCAGCCTCTCTCCGGTCGTCGCTTAGCAAATCTGTTATCCAAAAATTCAACAAGCATGTATTCACCTGTACATTTTGCAGTTTGTGTCATCTCCCCTCACCCCCCCCCCCCCTGAATGATAGTTTTTAAACGTGCACAGTTAATTGTATATTTTTTTATCTGCAGCCAGTTATTAGTACAGTTAACTCTCATTAGTCATTTATTGAACTGGCAAAATGCTTACTTCTTCTATATATTTTGCTATTTTTCGCCATAGTGTCACCCCCGAAATTTTGCCACCTTGCGCAGTCCTCAGCCCCGCCCCCCCTCCCCAACCTTGTGACGCCTCTGGTTATGGGTACTACTTGAGTACAGTAAATATGTATATGTATATGTATATATATATATATATATATATATATATATATATATATATATATATATATATATATATATATATATATATATATATATATATATATATATATACATATATATCGGGGGGGGGGTATAGCCCCTTGGCACACCTTGTACCTACGCCACTACATAATCATGTTCTTAAGATTATATAGCACATTCTATGTATAAATTCGATAAAAATAGCTATTACGTATTCTGCAATTTTATATTTGTAATAACATATTGTAAACGAAATGAGTCTTAAATTCGATTAAAAAATGGGCCTTTATATTATGTATTTTTTCTATTTTGCAATCATATCATGTATTACTTGTTGTATAGCCTAGATTCTATAATAATATACTAATATATTCTATATTACATAATCCTATATTATATCGTTTAGTAATCTCTACCCTAATGTTTTCTATACCGAATAATCAATATTCTGTAATTCTAAATTGTGTATAAATTAATCATACAATCTCTAAAATTAATCATAACTATGATCACAATTAAATTCAGCAATCCACTGTATTAATTTATATTGCTAAAAATAATTTAATTTTCAATTTTAAAGACAGAAGATACATTTTTTATAATATTAATTATTATTAGCTCTGTAAAATGAATGGTTGTTTAATTTTTCTTATATTAAATATTTAAAGCGATTAATTAATCGAAATGGTTTTATTCCGTTAGCTAGTTTTTACAGTTTATAACTATAATTAGAGTCTCAACGACAGAATCAAATGAGAAAAAATCTATAGCGTTATTATATACCGACACTGTTGATAAGCCACTCAACGACAGTCTCGTTGAGAATAGTGTAGGATCGGCTGTATTTGGACTACTATTTATTGTTTTAATTTTCGTTTTGTAAACTCAGAGGCGTATCCAGGTTTTCGTTGTAGGGGGAGCGAAAAGAACAAAAAAAAAAGGCGCCGAATTTTTAACACGTTCTATATACGTGTATTATATTTATTATATACGTGTATTATATATATATATATATATATATATATATATATATATATATATATATAAAATTACTAGCTGTATGTCATTACTTCGCAAAGATGTAAAATAAATTGTAAGTAGCATTCCGAAGAAATAAGAAAAAACACAATGTAGGCCGACAAAACAAAAATTGTATCAATCTAAACAAAAAAACAAAAAATATACACACACTACAACCAAAAACAATGAACGTAACACAATCTGTTGTGTAATTCTTGTAAAAAAATTTCTTACATAATAATTCATGGGAAATTATTTAAGACAAGTGAAATAGGGGAAATAATCACTCTCTTAATATAAATATGTATATATCTACACATTTAATTATAAATGTCAAAACAAATAAATAATTACTTTAGAATATAATGAATCTGTTTAACACTATTTGTGTTAAAAAAATGTTTTTGTCTATAATCAGAATTAAATATATCGTCATCATAAATGCTAAAGTATTACGGCATAATGAAAGCTTTTGAAATCAGAGTTGGTATAAAAGCACGCTTTTCGAAATAAAAGAAAAACATTCGGAATAACAGCCTACATATATCGAAATATTGGTCTTTTAGTTCAGATCATATATTTTTTAAATTAACTACTGCTTCTTTGTGTTCCTTAAAGATCATTTTTTAACATAGTGATAGGTATGGGTTAGATCACTGTATTGCTCACACACCTTTTTACTGTCCGGTCACTTTAGGTCAATTATACAACCCAGTGGATACCTAGGTGTGAAATTAATGTCGCTCTACACAATTGTGGTGGTGAGGTGTGGGGGGGGGAGATAACCAACTCAGAGTGAACATAGCGTCAGTTTTTAGATTACTGTTCTAAACATACATATATATTACACGTGTATACTGATTCAGAAATAGATTTAAATAAGTAGCAGTGGTATTATGACAATATTTTTTTTTACAGAGGGGTCCATGGGGGAGGGGGGGGGGTTGTAACTGTTTCATATAATTTGTAGTCGTAATCACTATCGCCCAAACTGTAAGAATACTACCACTTCATCGTGATGACGTTGTTGATCGTGTCAAAATTTCCCCACCACTACGCAGTTTGCTCATAAGTAAATTTAAATAGAGGTGCCACGACAGTTGTATTTCCTTCTGTATTGTAATTTTCAAAAAAATTAATCACACGATTCAAACTGTATATTTAAAGTAATTATGTGTGAAGTTTTATGTATAACATTTTCTAATGCAATTATTCGTAAGCAAATACATTATACAGTTGCCTTAAACTTAACACCCCTCTTGCCAAGTGGTACTACCGGTAGAAGATTTTTTAAAATTCCAATGCATCGTAATGGTTATTCTTAGAATGGCAAACTGATGCAGCTGTTAATACGTGCTGTAAACGTAGACACTACTAGACTAGTACAATAATGCTTAATTGCTGCATGAAAAGAAATCTTGTGATTTACATAGATGTGCCGACCAAAAATATTTTTTAACAAATATCATTGTTTAAAACTTTGAGTTTAAAAAGTTTCCAAAAAGGCGCCACTTTGCTGAAAATGGCCAGAGGGGGAGCGGCCGCTCCCCCTGCTCCCCCCCCTGCGTACGCTACTGTGTAAACTACATCCAAACACACATTACAGTTTTAAATTCTCTTTAGATCTAAATCAGTAATACCTTAAAATTATTTTAGTTTTGTATTACAGACGTGAAACAAAATGGCTTATCTTCTTTTCCTATTAACACTGAAAAATAATATCGGGAAAATCCAATTTCTCTGAATTGTTCAATTCACTTTATAGAATTAAAATTTAGAATCTTTAAGTGTTTATTATTTGATAGTTATGTTATTAAGTTATATACAAACAGTAAAAACAAATCACATTATATTTATGCTAAATGTTTTTATGAGCCATATTATAAGAATTTATCTTGTGTATAACACATCTTGAATTGCCTAAACATGAATAAGGAATGAAAGGGAAATCTTATCAATATTGCTGTTTGGTCTACGCATATTTTTCATATATATTATAACACCCTACTGCTATTTAATTAACAAAGAGTTATATTAAGTCTAATCAATAATGAATTTCATTTGTCTCACTTTATTATAAAGGGGCGTTATGTGGGATGGTGTCGTGGGGGTGGGGGTGGGGGGGTGGGGGAGGTGTAGCGTTATGTGGGATGGTGTCGTTGGGGGTGGGGGGAGGTGCAGCGTTATGTGGGATGGTGTCGTGGGGGGTGTAGCTTTATGTGGGATGGTGTCGTGGGGGGTGTAGCTTTATGTGGGATGGTGTCGAGGGGGGAGGTGTAGCTTTATGTGGGATGGTGTCGTGGGGGGGAGGTGTAGCTTTATGTGGGATGGTGTCGTGGGGGGTGGGGGGAGGTGCAGTGTTATGTGGGATGGTGTCGTGGGGGGTGGGGGAGGGGGGGTGGGGGAGGTGTAGCGTTATGTGGGATGGTGTCATTAATACAGTTTTACTTGCATCGTCTGTGTCTATCGTGTGTGATGTATAAGAATACTTATTGTCTTTAATGGCGAATGTGTGCAATATAAAGTTTGCTCAATTTTTATTGTCTTTGAGTTTTTAGAAAAACTAGACTACCCGTTAGCACTAGATAACTGTGGGTTTCGGGGGTCATCCATAAATGACATCACGTCTGTCACTTATCATCACAAAACAACCAGACTCTACATTCAAAAAGGCGTCACACCTCAGACGTTTTTGTCTTTTAAAAACACTGACTTCGTCTAAGCATGGGTCTGACAACATAATCTTTTCATATGCTGAGGTCACAAAAACAGTTCAACTCTACTTCACCTGCCCAGTGTCCTCCCAACTCAGACATGTTTTAGTTCAACTCTACTTCACCTGCCCAGTGTCCTCCCAACTCAGACATGTTTTTCTCTGTGAAAATACAGATTTTGGCTGAGCGTGGGGCTGACCACAGTATCTCTTCATATGCTGTCGTCACAGGTGAACTTTACACCTACCCAACACTACTTCACCTGCCCAGCGTTCCGCCAAGTCTCAGACAACATGTTTTATCTTTTAAAAAAATAAGATTCTTGTAACACATATGGTTACCAGCCCGGGGAGGGAAAAATATGACGTTTTAATTCATTGAGTTGCAGCCCCTGTGGGGTCGTGGCCCTGTTGACTTAGTGTTTTTTCCGTGCTTTTGTGAGCGATGTTACCTGTGTCCCATGTCATGTGACATGGGACTGTGGGTAGTTTCATGCCTAGCCGTGTCAGTCACACGCAAGGCTGCTGTCTGTGGACACGGTGACCAAGATGTAGACCTAATGAAGGTAGTTATATAGATTATGTTTGTTAAAATACTTATTTGTGTATTCCTGCTAGTGCTGCATGTGCACACTAGTTAGGGTGAGTATTAATATAAGTATTTATTTGTAGTACTACGTATTGGTACTTGTTGGCAGTACTGAGTACTGGCCAAAACATATTTTATTGTACCCGTGTATATTGTAGCCTACACGTGGTGTTGTCGTGAATGTAACTTTTTATTTACATTTGTTTTAGGGCTACAGTTTTTGTTTGTTTTCTTGGTTTCCTGTTGCTCCAGTATTTTCTCTTTGAAATCGTCGTACTACTGTGTTGCATCGCTGTCATGGCTCGATGCTGTGAATAAAGGAGTACTTGACAACAACTGTCGGTGTCGGTGTGTTCTTAATCTCAGGGTCAGCCCGTTTTTAACCACAACACCTCAGTGGGTAAAAGCATCCCCACTGAGTGAGGGTTACATTCTGACCGAGCATGGCTCTGAACACACTATCCACGTTATATACTGAGGACAAAGAAGTTAATAACTTATATATTTTACTTCTAAGTGGCGCAACAATCTACGCGAATCAGCCCTAGAATTAGATCTAGAATTATTTGAAATTAAATGTATTGTATAATAAAATAAAAAGAAGTGTTAAAACATTGAAAATAGTGTTGAAACCAGTAGCGTACGCAGTGGGGGGGGGGGGGGGGCAGGAGGAGCGGCCGCTCCCCCTCTGGCCATTTTCAGCAAAGTGGCGCCTTTTTGGAAACTTTTTAAACTCAAAGTTTTAAAACAATGATATATGTTAAAAAATATTTTTTGGTCGGCACATCTATGCAAATCACAAGATTTCTTTTCATGCAGCAATTAAGCATTATTGTACTAGTCTAGTAGTGTCTACGTTTACAACACGTATTAACAGCTGCATCAATTTGCCATTCTAAAAATAACCATTACGATGCATTGCAATGTTTTAAAAACCTCTACGGGTAGTATCACTGGCAAGTGGGGTGTTAAGTTTAAGGCAACATTATAATGTATTTGCTTACGAATAATTGAATTAGAAAATGTTATACATAAAACTTCACACATAATTACTTTATATATACAGTTCGAATCGTGTGATTTAATTTTTTTTTAAATTACAATACAGAAACAAATACAACTGATGTGGCACCTCGATTTAAATTTACGTATGAGCAAACTGTGTAGTGGTGGGGAAATTCTGACAAGGTCAACAACGTCATCACGATGAAGTAGTAGTATTCTTACAGTTAGGGTGATAGTGATTACGATTACAAATTATATAAAACAGTTACAACCCCCCTCCCTCATGGACCCCTCTGTGAAAAAAAAATATTGTCATAATACCACTGCTACTTATTTAAATCTATTTCTGTAATATATATTGCTCTAATATATATTTGTGTAATGTATATGTATGTTTAGAACAGTCATCTAAAAACTGACGCTATGTTCACTCTGAGTTGGTTATCCCCCCCCCCCCCCCCCCTCCCCCCACACACACACCTCACCACCACAATTGTGTAGAGCGACATTAATGTCACACCTAGGTATACACTGGGTTAGATAATTGACCTAAAGTGACCGGACAGTGGTGAATGAAGTCGAACCCACCCCCCCCCCAACCCACCCAGAACTGTTCTGTTAAGAACATGTAGAAAAACGCGTAATAATGTACCAAAGTACCATGCCGCCAGAAAATTAGCATTTTAAACGTAAAACTCTTTGAATATTGTTTTTTGCAATTACCAGTAAAAAGGTGTGTGAGCAATACAGTGATCTAAACCATACCTATCACCAGTGGCGTAGCGAGGTAGGGTGTAACCCGGTGCGGCACTTAATGGTGTCACCCCCCCGAGGCGTAGCTACCCTTCCCGGGGACAAATTTTCGATTTGCACCCCCCCTCAAACTTTCGATTTGCAGCCCCCCCCCCCCCCCCAAGTTTTCGATTTGCCACCCCCCCCCCCTCAAACTTTTCGATTTACACACCCCCCCCCCCCTCAAGTTTTTCTCTATATATTTTGCTATTTTTTGCACCCCCCGCACCCCCCGCCCCCCCCCCCCCCGCCCCACCCCCCGCCCCGCTATGCCTCGGCCTATCACTATGTTAAAAAATGATCTTTAAAGAACACAAAGAATACATGATGTGATCTAAAAGACCAATATTTAGTTAAATGTAGGCTGTTATTCCGAATGTTTTTGTATAGTGTCGAAAAGCGTGGTTTTATACCAACTCTGATTTTAAAAACTTTCATTATGCTGTAATACTTTAGCAATTATGATGACGATATATTAAATTCTGATTATAGACAAAAACATTTTGTAAACACGAATAGTGTTAAACAATTTTATTATATTCTAAAGTAATTATTTATTTGTTTTGACATTTATAATTAAATGTGTAGATATATACATATTTATATTAAGAGAGTGATTATTTCCCCCTTTTTCACTTGTCTTAAATAATTTCCCAGGAATTATTATGTAAGAATTTTTTTTTTTACAAGAATTACAAAACAGATTGTGTTACTTTCATTGTTTTTGGTTGTAGTGTGTATATATATATATAATATATATATATATATATATATATATATATATATATATTTGTTAGATTGATACAATTTTTGTTTTGTCGGCCTACATTGAGGTTTTTTCTTTTATATATATATATATATAGTATATATATATATATATATATATAATATATATATTATATATATATATATATAATACGCGTATATAGAACGTGTTAAAAATACTGCGCCTTTTTTGCTCTTTTCGCTCCCCCTACAATGAAAACCTGGATACGCCTCTGGTTGAAACGTAATAAAAATAGCAAACGGACGTATTGTTAAATATATAGCCGACAGAAAATTAGTTTAAGAACGCGTTAAACATCTGAATCGGCAACTAAATCTTGGATTGAAGTCGCCATTTATTGTACTAAAATGTAAACAATTCATGTGACGTCACTATTCCCAAAAAGTAAAGTCAATGTTTTAAACTTTTAAAATTAATGTGGTTAATCTACCTACGAATAAATCAATAAGTTAATTAACGTATTTAAATAAATTTGTGATTAACAGTCTTTCTGAATATAAAAATTGTTCTCTACCTACATACTATTTTACAGGTCTATACATATGGCAGATTCTCTCCAGTAGTAAATCAGACAAATAAATAAATATTCAAGCATGATAAACAAAGTTGAGTTTTTAGTAGTATAGAGATAGATAAGTCGAGTGCAATGCAATACATATAGTGAAAGCACGTTAAATAAAAGATATTAAGAAGCTAATAAAGTCAAGGGTGATAAAGTGTCGAATTTCATTTACAAATAGATTTTATATTATCTTAACACACAAAAAAATGCTTTAATTTTAAACTTTAATGCCACATTTTGCCAGTTATGTAATTTTTTAACTTGAAATTATCTTTAAGTTTGAAAATTGTATTTTTTCTTTAAAATTGTATTTGTCTGATTTTATTATTGGTGCCCTCCCTTATTTAATTTCCAACGCAACATGGGAGACTATAAATGATTAAACAGCATTATATTTTATAACGTTTGATTGGTTAGCGTTGTTTACAATACTCGTCATTTTGTCTGTATATAATATACGTCCGCAATATACTATTTGCTTTGACGATTTCTGTTTGTGATAAGACGTAAATAAATAAATAAATATGTTGATTTTCACTCTAAAAATTATTACGTTTCGCTGTTAAAAACGATAGTTGCTTGAAATGAGGACACCGTCAACCAAATCAAAGACATTTAAAATGGATTAAAAATCATAACTATATCCCGAGTTCCCATCCCCTGTTGTTTTATATAAGAATATTCCAGAAAGTTTAGGGGAGATCACTCCCGGTTTATTACCTAAGTTTGCCATTAATAGTGTAAAAACAGCTGGCTGCGGATGGAAAGCGTGAACGTATCATTGTTTACTTGGTTTTATTGTTGATTCAATAGTCTAAGTAAAAGGTGGTTGAAAGCGTCGTAAAGCTCAATCGTATCGTGTTAACTTTTTTAATAAACAAAGTGGGAAAAAAACATGCAAATTCAACATTTAAGAATGCCTTTAATAAAAAGTAATTATAAAACTTCAAAATACAATTGTGAGAAAACAAATGCTTATAAGTAGCACTTATTTTATTACATTATTATATTTGTAAAAAAAAATTAATATTTTTTTTAAACGAATATGAAACATTTGTTAATAAATATCATAAAGACATAATGTGTTAAATAATTCAAAAGCTGTAAAACCAGCATTAGCAGCATGCCCTTTGATATTCAAAGTGTTAAAATTTGAAACACCCACACAAAAATAATAGTAAAATGGAGACCAATAATTATTTTTTTTAAATCAGCTCGCTGGTACAGACAGTATATATATATATATATATATATATATATATATATATATATATATATATATATATATATATATATATATATATATATATATATATACAAGGTAAACAAAATTAATCATCGTCAAATAAATGAGTATTTTAAATAAGGACTTCAATTTATACTTACATATACTATATGTATTTATATTCTATTTGTGTGTAAAAAAAAACTATATGTTTAGCATAGTTAGACATTTAGTAGTAATAGCTATTCTCTCTAAGGAAAGCTGGTTGATATTATGAGAGGAGCTACATTAGAACATGTACAAAAAATTCGCCAGTACTTGATCAAATTAAAGTGATTTGGAACTTCTAGTTTTTCCTCTTCAGCTGGGTTGATTAGCGATCGAGTTTCAACAATTATAAGTTTCTTTTTGTAAGTGAACGCGCCATGCAGCACTTTTTTGCCAGTCCAAAGTTTAGCAATGTGTTCAAATTGGATGCTTCTACTGTCGTGTAAACAAAGAACCAAACACAAACTGCCATTTGCCTGTAAAGTGTAGTTGTTTGTACCATTCTTGAAACTAATTAAATTTTCTGCTGGTCCAGCAAGATTGTCTAGTCTGGTCCAAACTTTGGATACAATATCAAATTTATGAACGGCTGTCTCCTCTAACCCGTTTTGCGTTTCGGAACAAAATAACAAAAAGTTGTTTTCTAGAGCAATTACATGTGTAACTTTAATATCTTCTACAAACTTTGTGAGAATACGTAAATGATCTGGATCGTCTTTTGGTTTTATTTTGTAAATTTCTTGGGCATCTTTGTTTAAAATGTAAACACAATCTCTACGTGAAAAAAATAACAAGTTGTGACATTTCAGTCTCGTCACAAAATTCCATTTGTTTTCACTGAAAAAATGTAAATAAAATTCTCCGTTGAGGTTGAGGTGACATCTTTGTCTACCTACAGCATACAGTTCTCCATTAACTGTGGTTAAATGAACATCTTCACGCAACCAAAAGCTATCTGAGATTGTATAAATCTTCTCTTCGATTGCACTTAAAAATTTAAAATGCCCCTTTCCTTCAGCGAATACTCCACCATGTCTGTATTCACTACACGTTCTATGTAGAGCAACAGATGGCCAATGACTTTGTCTCAGATCTTGAACGTGATATAATAAAGCATCGACAATTATGTCACTTGAATCTTTATTTTCAGATATTAAGTCCATCTTGTATACATGAGACAAAAGTGAAGGACTTACAAGATAGATCCTGATCTTTTTTAATAGACCTGTTAGTTTTTCCTTTCTCAAAGCTATTTCATTTTTTACAAAGTCGACTGTAACACTAGAATCTAGCATCATATAGTTAACGTTGTTTGAATCTTTAGCATTCAATGTACATTTACTTTCTTTTAACTCAGCTGTCATTATCTGAACAAAATTGACCCATCGTATCACTGCTTCAAGAACTAAATCTTCTTTGCTCACTACTAGATCTTGACATTTTATCAAATTCCTTAGTTCCTCAAAAGACAGTTGAAGAAATGTTGATGTCAGAGAAATTTGTTCAAAGTTTTTTATCATGAATTTCTGGAGGTGTTCAAGAACGTTTTCTGAATCTAAAAGTTTAGCATTTGTGTAAATCTGTTCCCACGTATCCATCGCAACCGTTTCAATGGCGAAGTCCTCACACAACTTGACCATGAAAGCGATCTGCAGCATGTGAACTGCTCGCCAAACATCGAGCAGGTTTTGGGAAGTTAAAATATCTACACCCGTGTACAATGTCCTCAGAATTAACGTAAACACGTCACAGGAAACGTCGTGTAGAACCACACAGTTCTCGGTGACTTCTCGCATGCCTGAACGAAAAAGTGCTTGAAAAAAATCCGAACATGCGGCTAGGATCAGGCGATGACATTTGATTGTTTCGTCTTCGATTTTGACAGTAAAATCAAACAACATTTTATCTGTCCACATGTGTTCTAGACCCTTAACAATGTGTGTGCACATTTCAGAAGTAGTCATGATGTTAGCTGACCTTTAATAAATATTAAATTATTATATATATATATATTTAATTATATATATATATATAGGCCTATATATATATATATATATATATATATATATATATATATATATATATATATATATATATATATATATATATATATATATATATATATATATATAAATATATTAAATACATTTATTATATATATATAAAAATAAAACTATTTATGCATTTATTTTTATATATGTATATGCGTGTATCAATCTATTTCAACAAATATCGCTTGCTAAATGCAAAGTGGACTAGACAAGATGTACATGAATTGTGCATATATTTAAACACTAGAACTACTGTACATGTCCTAACATAATATACCAATCTAGTAAACATTCAATTTATTAGATTTACAATCGGAATTAATACACCGCCCCGCCCACCCACCCCCAACCACCACCTCCCCTCCTCTATTTTATTGTATTTTAATAAAACATGATGTGTATGGAAACAATATCGACATTTGACATATAGATGTTTAGCCATAAGCCAGTATGCAGCGAGTTCAGCAACGAACGCTTGAAATTTATTTTATTTTTTTGGTTTTCTGAAGTCATAAAGCTGTTTCATGTTTAGTATGAGGCGTTGTTTTCATTTTCCTTATATCTTACCCTTGTGAATTTTAACAATTGTTTTCAAACATTTCTGGTAAATACTTCGAGAATACAAACGCAACGATGGGATTTAATTCTAATTTTAAATCATTTTCTAAATAAATGTTAGCTTTTATTTTACAAATTACAAGAATAAAACTTGGAAAAAACTAGATCGTAGGGCGTAGCGAGAGGGGGGGGGGGCCGGGGGTGCGGACCGCACCGGGTGACACCAATTAGGGGGGTGACACCAAGGCAAAAAAATAGCAAAATATATACAGAAAAATTTGAGGGGGGTGGAAATCGAAAGTTTGAGGAGGGGTGCAAATCAAAAGTTTGAGGGGAGGGGGGGGGGTAAATCGAAAATTAAAAGTTTGTCCCCGTGAAGGGTCGCTACGCCTCTGGGAGGGGTGACACCATAAAGTGCCGCACCGGGTAACACCCGACCTCGCTACGCCACTGGGTAGGGATCATTCAAACCGTCCGGTGAGCTGTCGTTCATAAAATGTTGTTTAGAACAATAGAGCCGTGACAGACGCTAGTACTGGAGTGATACTTTTCATTTTAAAATTAAAATACTGCTATTTATTGATTGTAATCAGGACTAAAATGTATTTGGTAGGTTTGCCAACATAAGTAATATTGATTGAACTGGAAAGAAAAACATCGAATAACAAAATGTAATTTAAAATTTCTTGATAATAAAATAGGAAATGCAATAAGATAATCTCGAGTTCGAATCCGGGTTCAAGTCAGTAGACTGTCCGTGAGTCCACCCAACTATGATGGGTACCTAACTCATGTTAAGGAACGTAAAAGCGGCTGGGCATAGTGCTGACCACACTATCTCTTCATATGCCGAGGTCACAGAAACAAGTCAACTCTACTTCACTTGCCCTTTAGTCCGTTTGAAAGGGAACTTTACTTTTACAATAAGATAGAACACTTTTAGGTATAAAAGAAAAGCTTTGGCTTACTCTTGTGTATCAACAGATTCAAAGTCATCGAGATCACTCAAATCCTCGTCACATGGAGAATCCTCAAAATCTCCGTATTCATCGTCATTAATGAAACTTGCTTTATATCAAGCTACTTAAGTTTAAAAACTAGATGGTCCTTTAACTTCATTGATAAAACGATCAGTAGATAGGTTCTGGGTGTGTTGTAGTACTGCAATTACAACCCAGTCCCCTGCTGCTTTTTGATTGAAGTACCTGCAGATACATCGATTCATGCTTATGTAATTTATAAACACGTAGAAATTAGCATTGGGTTATGCATGCACATAATAAAATAATCTTTAAAAAATATCTAACCTGTTTAAATTTATTTAATAACAACTTACCAAATTATGTTGAATTGGATGGTTTTATTAAACATAATAAGTCTTATTATTTTGCTTATCTTATTTCTCTCTGTTTCAGAGGACTGTTTAGATATTATTTTCACTACAGCCAGAGGCGCAGCCACCTTTACCGGGGCACCCGGGGACAAACTTTTCGATTTGCTCACCCCCACCCCCCCCCCCCTCAAGATTTTCGATTTGCACCCCCCCCCCCCTCCTCAAGATTTCGATTTTGCACTCCCCCCCTCAACCTTTTAATTTATTTTTCCAACCCATTTTGGCGCCCCCCTAAGATCGTGCGCTCGGGGGACACATATGTCTTCCCCCCCCCCCCCCCCTTTGCTACGCAACTGACTACAGCATATAATTTTACAAATAGGGAATTAGGAAGCGCTTCACGAGTTACAACTCAACTATTTTGCCATCCATCACACTCATAATAGATAAAGACGAACCTCATTTTTCTAACATAACAACAGAAATTTGTGAAGTTTATCTTAATAAATTAATTAAAAATAGTAGCCATAAACGTGAATATAAGGTAACTTATCATTGATTATCATACCACTATGTAAGTTAATCAAAACCGAAAAAAAATGTTTTTACTATACAAATGTTTTAGTAATTAACTCCCCTCTTGCTCAAAACACTTCACATTCAACTAGCCCTAGCCAAAATCCTACAAAACAATCGCTCACGCTACTTGTATGCCCATATTCAACCTTATGATAAATAATACAAAAAGGGAGCAACTACAACTCACTAACCGTGGGGATCTCAACTATTTCTACCTAGCAATAAAAGTGATACGTAACAATATAATTTGTCAACAAGTTATCTTATTATATACTTATAACTATTGTAAATATTCACCAAACTTTAGTATGAAACTTTACATCGTATTTTGAACAGATAAAATACAATGGCTGAATACAACCATTTTAATATTAAGTACAATTTCAGGCAGTATCGAGGATATAGTAATGATTACGGCCATGATTCATTTGGATAAAAGATAATACTATCTGTTTAATGTAAAAGGTTTCAGGCAAAGCCGAAAGATAGAACTAGTTTTAGCCCGAGTAATACATGGTACCAAACTATTAAATATCCAGCCCAAACTTAACTTAGACCTACAAATATGTAAGCAAGGGATAACGTAAGAAATTTTAAAACTCTTAAATTACAAGTAAAAGTTTCGTAATGATACAAAAGTTACAGCTAACATAATAAACGTCTTTCCTAGCTCTAATTTTACCTCGCTCTATTGAAATAGCATTTACATTAAACAAACACATTGAACAATAACCAGAATTTTCCTTAAACTCATGTACTGTCGAAAGTAAACAGTTTAAATAAATAGCCTATGATTCATACTTAACATTTCAGTACAATTGCACTTTTTTTTTAAAATAACTGCCGTGCAGTTTACGCAGTTAAACACCATAAGGCATAATACACAAGGTGTTAAATCGAATTGTCTACTAGATCTAGATCTATTATATATAGATCTATAAGAAACAATTCATGATTAACCTTCGATGCTTGGGGCTAAGGGCTTTACACTGAAATAAATGATGCACATACAACTAGATCTAGCGTTAATGGCTCAAAACTTACATATGTAGCCGTAATTTTAACCCTTGCTATATTTTCGTCTTTGTAAATGTATGCAATTTTAATTATTCACTTAAATACGCAGATCATTTTTAAAAACTTGCAACGTCTTGGTCAACCATTAGCGCACTACTTTGGTGCAAACCCTTCTTTTTCTATTTTCATTTTTTTACACTGTGCAAATATTGTGTGCATTGTAAAAAACAAATTCATAAAAAACGTTTTAATAACAAGCTTGTATGTAATAATGCACTAAAAAGTAGAAAATAAATTATACACTACTATTTAAATTACTATAAAGAAAATAATTTATAATTTATTTTCTACTTTTTAGTGCATTATTACATAAAAGCTTGTTATTAAAACGTTTTTTGTGAATTTTTTTATATGACTAATAAAAGCTTGTTATTTGAACGTTTTATTTTTAAAAATTTAGTACTTTACATGTTTTTATTTACAATAGAGTAACATGACTAAAAACCATTGCGAAGCTATTGAACGTGATAACGCATTTTTGCCGTGATGACGCGTGTGGATAGAACTGCCTACAAATGTTGTCAAAATTTTAATTAATTCATAACAAATTAATCAGGAGACCAGTTAAGTCAGATTTAATGTCACGATGCATTGTCTTCGTGTCTTGACATACGTATCAATCACGAACCGTATCTGTCAGATAGAAGTGCCTGCAATTTCGCTCCTGCGTTTCGATCTAGACAGACTGACGACTGACGACTGACAGAGTTAAATAAAAGCTTGTAAAAAATGAATATCAAGGTTTTATTAGAAAACAAAAAAGAAAATAAATAATTCTCTTTAAGTGTGGGTGGTTATAGTTCATCTATTGGGGTTGTCCATAAATGACGTCACACTCGTAGGGGGAGGGTAGTCCGTAATTTTGTGACGGTGTGTTTGGACGGGGAGGGGGTCAGATGGTGTGACGTCACTTTTTGCATTATAAAAAAAGAAATGTTTGAAAACAAGTTTTTTTAGCCAGAGACAGAGATCTGACAAGATTTTGGAAAAATTTAACAGCAATTTTTAGGGGGGGGGGGGGTATAGGTTGCGGTGTGACGTCATTTTAGGGGGGGGGTCTGGCTTTTTGTGACAACGTGAGACGGAGGGAAGGGGGGGGGGAGGTAAAAATTGTCAAAAAAGTGACGTCATTTATGTATGACCCCATTAATATTATGTCTTTACAAAAGCAAGAATTTCACTCATTAAGCGTGTTTTTCAGTTTGCATAACACGGTTTAAAAATGTGCTACTACGAGAGGGTTCCTGAAAATTTGCCTAATGTCATTTCTTAGATAAGCATCAATTAGCTGTACAAAATTAGTTCATTCATTACCAATATTCACAATTAAAGAAAAAATATCATGTACGTTCATCCATGTTTTAATATGCCATCTAATAAATGTGATACTATGTTGAAGGATGTGTGCCAATTCATAAGTAATACAACTTTCTCTATATTATCGTAATATCATTCTTATCTTAACACATTAACTTTTATTTACATTGTAGATGCTGAAATTAAAAACGTCATGTATTACATAATACAGCATTGTATACTATAAAATAAATATAAATTTATATTCTCGGCACCTTTAAGTTTAACTTTGCTACACTGAGTTAACCTATAAAAAGTATTGAGTACATGGAGGGCAGATGTGTTTTTTATTATTGAAGTCTCCATTAGAAGTATAAACTACAACACGGACTTGCCTTTATATTTTACTTGGATGGCAGACATTCATTACAAGAATAAGCCGAAAAAACAATGAATAAATATAAGCGTGCTGATTATGGTTGCAAATTGAGTTAAATATATTAATATCTTTGGGGGAAAAAACGGTTAATTATTTTGCTATAAAATAAATTATATCTAAAAGCAAAGATTTATATTTTTCATTTAAAATGACATAAACATAAAAATTGCTGGAGCAGCCAACACAGACCAGAGTGGAGAGAGAGACGCTGACAAAGTCTTGTTGTTCGTAATTATCATCTAGCTCATCAGCTAACAGGGTCGTGGTCAGAAAAAATGTGAAGTTGACCACCAAGTAGATGAATGTGACCGTCAAGAGCGTGCGTGTGGCCCTATGAGACCCTGAACTAGGGCTGGTCAAAATATCCTTTCTTTTCATCGTCGCTATTTTGATTTTGATGATGATCAATAATCTGATCCTGTCGATTATTAATTGGACAATACTTGGCTTATGATTAAATATTATGTAGCCTTTAAATAAAGAAATAATTTCCCAATTTGTGTTAATATATTACTTAATTCTTTTTAATAGAATAAACTACATTAGCGGCATGTAGCCTACTAATGTGTCATTTAGAAAACAATGTTACACGCCTAAAAATAAATGATTGGTATTGCGTTGATGAAACCCTTATAAACCGTGTGTAGGACTAGATCGAAAGAACACTCGACGAGTACGGGTATTTAATAAAGCTCGTATTTTTATATTGTTGGCTTATTTATCAGGTTATATTTTTTTCACAGCATTTTAGTAAAGTTATTAATACAAATCATCAAGTCTACATTTTAAATATTATTTTTTTACATATCTAAAGTTGAGGACTATAATCATAAACATGATTAGTCTAAATGATATGATCTCCCTGACAGAATTCGGACATAAACGGTTCGATAAACAGTAAACTGGCAAATTTTGACCTCATGCTTTATAAAGAGATTTTTTTGTCCAGTTCCTGAGCTATTGGTATCTGTATTTATATATATAAATATATAGACGAACCATGCGGGAAAGCCCCGCGTAAGCTCAACAGACCATATCGCTACCACCCCCACCCCCACCCCACCCCCACCCCCTCCCATCCCAACCCCCCTCACACCCCCCCCCCCCCCCACCCACAAGTCTGGTGAGCTGTGGTTCACGGCGAATGTTTACAATCGTAGAGTTGGGTCGAATTAATGACGGCTTTTATGGGCAGGTAATTTAGTTTTTTAACGATTTGAAACTAAGTGGAGGTAATAACAAGTTCTGCTTGATCTTTTCATTGTCGTCTTTAGACTGTTGTCACGGACGGCTGCTTTCATTGGGGCGGGGAGGGGGGAGGAGTGGAAAGTGAGGGTGAGGATAATCGTCCTTCACGAGCCACTGATAGTGTTTTAAAACAAAATATTTTCAGTCTCAGCATTGGTAGTGTCGAATTCACAAATGATGAATTACTGAAAAATAGGAACTAAAACAACTAAATAGTGGCGTATGCTGACGCGGGTCAGCTCGTTATGTAATAATTACTCGAAACTTTTTATCACTTGTATCAACATGCTGTTGTAGTTCTCTGTTAACTTATTCAAATTGTTGACCAGCAAGTGACGCTCACTGTTAAAGAATATTTGATTTTCATCAGTAATGACAATTTATATTTATTGCGAGGAATTAAAATTGGTAACAGATTCCTACGTTGTCGAACATAGTTAAAATTAAAATGAGCATATAAATCTAAAAATTCAACACGAACTGTCTTAGTTGTTTTTTTTTTTTTACGTTTAAGACATTTGCAATAGGATATAATCAAAGTAAGTAATGAAGATAATGATTATTCAAAAACAATGTCTATTTATTATGTGTTTGCTTTTATATAAGTGCAATTTATAACTATTCAAATATGTATTTCTGATTCTATCTTTTTTTTTTAAAGTCACTACACTTAACCCCCCTTAAATGTTAGTCAACAATTATATGGGAGGCAACTCTTCCTCTTTCCGGTGACATAGGATGGACAAGCACAGAAGCGTAGCGGCCCTTCCCGGCGCCTGGGGACAAACTTTTCGATTTGCACCCCCCCCCCCCCCCTCAAGATTTCGATTTGCACCCCACCCCCCCCCCTCAAGATTTCGATTTGCACCCCCCCCCCACCCACTCAAACATTCGATTTGCACACCCCCCCCCCCTCAACCTTTCAATTTATTTTTCCAACGCATTTTGGCGCCCCCTAAGGTCGGCGACGGAGACATATGTCCGTCCCCCCCCCCCTCGCTACGCTACTGGACAAGCTTCCCCTGATTATGGGACGGCCTGGTCGAACGTTAGAGCACTAGACTGCTAACCCGTTGCTCCCCGAGTTAACCCAGTTCTGACGGCTACCTGACGCACGTTAATGAAACAAACACGGCTGGGCATAATGCTGATCACATTATGCCGTTGTCATTGAAAGGGTGACCTCAATTTCATCTGCCCTATGTGTTTTCGGTAGGAAAAAAAATGAAGACGAATATTCTCCTGATTGAGGTTTAAATCTGCCCCGTTCGATATACGCTATACCTATTTCCAATTAACGGCTACTAATGATCCCCCCAACATTATAATTAACAGCAAATGTAGACTTTTCAAATAATATGTAAGTACCATTCAAATAGGTCAACTACAGGCAGAGGCGTAGCGAGGGCGGGGCGGGGGGTGCGGACTGCGCCGGATGACACCATTTAGGGGGTGACACCAAGGCAAAAAATTGCAAAATGTACAGAAGAAAATTGCTTTTTGCCAGTTTCATTAATTAAATATATAGTCTTTTAGGAACAAATCGAACATTATTACAAAGGGGCTTGGGTGACACCATGACGTAAACGTGTTAACTCTGGAGAAAACAATGCTACATCCAAAATGTATTATTAACAGACTATAGATAAAAATCGTTACTATTACGTCTGCAGTGAAAAGAGCTTATTCACATGCATGTACGCATATGTGGCGTATATTTAAATTTTAGGCACATGTTAGCCGACACACACACACACATCACACATATATATCTATATATATACATACATACATATATCATATATATATATATATATATATATATATATATATATATATATATATATATATATATATATACTTTCTTTATTTTTTAACTATTTAAATAGTCGTGTACAATTTATTTTCTACTTTTTAGTGCATTATTACATAAAAGCTTGTAATTAAAACGTTTTTTTTAATGAATGCTTATGTGTTACAATTTGGTAGCAGAACAATAAAAAATATAGATCTAGATCTAGGCTTAAGTTTGTTTCAATATAGATCTAGTAGAGCCTAATTCATTTTTTAAAACACCCAAATCTATTTTTAAAATATGGCGGCTTATTTACTTCTGTAGATGCGTGTTGTGTTGGCTTGTTTCTCATTTCATGTATGGTATTTAAAATATTTAAACGTTTTCTGGATGAGTGAAAGCTTCTCCAATAGATCTAGATCTAGATCTATATAAATTTAAAGCTAATGAAATATTTCGCTGTAGATCAAATTATTAGATCTAGATCTAGATCTATAATCGGTAATCTATCGTTTTGGGTACGTAAAATCGCCCGCGACTAGTAATGTGAAAAACAGGTGACTCCTTAAATTTTAATAATTATTTCACATTTTGAGGAGGATTTATGTTTTGAAAAATACAAAAATGTTTCCTTCTTTCATTTATGTACCTGTTTTTAAACAATTGAATTAAAACTTTTCAGTAATAAATGAAGACTAGCGATGTTTCCAACAGATGCAACCATGCTCATTTACTATAGCAGCCATCTTGTTTAAGTTTTTTTTTAAAGCGGATATAGCGCGAGACAGGCGGAAGTCACTCTATTTTACAAATGGCTGCTGTTTATATAGCAAATCTTGCTCGCAAACACTGCTGTTTAAAGTTAATTTCTGGCATATATTGATATATTTAGCCATTGATTTAGGTTTATTATTCATTTATCTATAATATTTGACACAAATATATCACAATATACTTCTACTAAAGCCTTGACAATGAGGTAACTTTTTCGTACATTAATAGCCGCGGGCGATTTTACGTACCCAAAACGATAGATTACCCTATAATCTTATATCTATTCGGCATTCGGTAATCTATCGTTTTGTACGTAAAATCGCCCGCGGCTATTATTAAAGTACGAAAACGTTACCTCATTGTCAAGGCTTTAATATTAATAGAAGTAGATCTAGATCTATATTGTGATATGTTTGTGTCAAATATTATAGATAAATGAATAATAAACCTAAATAAATGGCGAAATATATCAATATAGGCCAGAAATTAACTTTAAACTTTAAACAACTGTGTCTGCTAGCAAGATTTACTAACTATAGTATTATAGTATATAATTATAATATATTGATATAAGTATATAATAAATTATTATATACTTATATCAATATATTATATACTATAATTAAATAATAAAAAATAGAGTGGCTTCCCCTTGAATCTTGCGCTATAAGTTTATAAAAATAAAACTTAAACAAGATGACTGTTATAGTAAGTAAATGAGCATGGTTGCATCTGTTGGAAACATCGCTAGTCTTCATCATTTATTACTGAAAAGTTTTAATTCAACTGTTTAAAAACTTAATAAAAACAGGTGCATAAATGAAACAAAGGAACTTTTTAGTATTTTAAAAAACATAAATCCTCCTCAAAATGTGAAATAATTATTAAAATTTAAGGAGTCACCTGTTTTTCACATTCAAGTCGCGGGCGATTTTACGTACCCAAAACGATAGATTACCCTTTATTCTTTAAACTTAAAAATTTTTAATACCAGTCTCGTCTTTTTACATTATCAATCCAATGATTATCATTATGATTGATCATCAAATGTTTATGTCTTATGACTGTTGAGGGCTAGAATCATAAATATTAAATATGATTGGTCTCAGTGTTAACTGTTATGATCGCCCTGACAGAATTCGGACAAAAACAGGAAACTGGCAAATTTTGACCTTATGCTTTATTATTATTATATTATAATAGATTCTAGAATCTATATTTAAATTATAAAGAGATTTTATCAGTAGTAATTACTAGAAACTTGTTATCACTTGTAGATCTATGATGTAGTATCAACATACTCATCATACTGTTGTAGCTCTCTCTCTCTCTCTCTCTCTCTCTCTCTCTGTTAACTTATTCTTACTTACTGTTAAAGAATATTTGATTCTCATCAACCATGGACAATTTATATTTATAATATAACTAGTGAGTTAGCATTAGATCAGAGAGTTAGTCAGTCTAGCTAGCAGTAGCAGCTAGTCCAGCTAGCCACTAACTAGATCTAGATCTAGTAGACATCTAGAAAAACTAGATCTGGTCTAGATCTAGATTTTCTAGATGTGGCTAGCTAGTTAGCTAGCTAGACTCTACACCTGCATCAGCCTGAGCTACTAATCTAGATCTAGTTACTAGTAGCTATTAGAGACCGAGATCTAGAATCCCCCAGTCAAGCCAGTGTATTTGAGTAGTAGATATATAGAATAAATCTAGCACAGCCTAGATTAGTATTCTGGAATGGTATTAGTAGATCTATACAGATTAGCATTTTAAAAAATGGTATAAGGCGTAGTCTGTTACGTCGTTCCAGAATCCACTGGTGGTTGATCTATTCTACTTCTCTTTGAAATTAAACCTTACTTTATTAAACTTTATTTGGCACCATGTTTTGTTTTAATTTTAAAATGTTTATATATCTAGATTCTAGATTGATTTTAGGTGCATGTTAATAAAATTAAATACTATTATTTTGCTATTAATTTTGTATTTCTAATTATTTTTAAGTGTTTTTGCTAATTATTGCTGCTATTAAACATTGTTCTATTTCTAGCCATTTTTACTATTTTGGTAAACATTTTTACTTGGCCTAGATTCTAGGTCTGGATATCTAATTGGCCGTCACAATTTTTTTTTTCCGTTTCTAAAAATATAATTAAACTAATTAGGCTACTACACTTGACTTTATTATTTATATTTAGAGCTACTAGATTTAACTGTAACTAATATTCTATTTATTTTTGTTTCTTTGTGAATGTCATATTAAACTTAAAATATAGTTCAAACACCTATTTAGTACACTTGACTATTTACATTTCAATGGTCAGATAAACTATGGTTTACAGTAAGTAATGTTTACCAAACTCTACAAACATTACTGGATAATTTCCTACGCTATACTTGGAGATTACCCGAAAAGATAATCCTACTCCAAGTTAGTAGATCTCATCTAAAGAATCTAAGTGAATATACTCTGGCGATAATTCGATAATTTGTTTAAATTTATGGAACAAGATTGCTAATGTAAATAAAATAAAAGTTAAAACTTTAAAAGTTTTAAAAACTATTGTCTCTTTATCTGAAAATCTATTCTAAACAAAACTAAAAAAACTACCTATTGCATGACCACCTAAAACAGAATCCTTACGATGTTTATCATTTCTCTTATTCTATTTCTGTGTATATTCTAGCGTTATATTTTTTGTTGTTCATAATATATTTGCTGTTTACGGCTAATGTGAAAAAGGCTTCTGTTCCTTTTGTAACTTTTTAAAAAACCATTAACAAACATAAGAAAGTGTTATACATTTAAATTACAAAATGAATACCTTTTCTACAGATTGGCATAGCCTGATATTTTCAAATGGGTTCAGTATTATATTGCATGTAACACATAAGTAGATTTAGTGAGCAGACAGTTAAAACCTCTCAATTAATTTCTTTATTTTGTTTTGAATTTAGTCCAAGCTTGTTACAAAACGCACAAACTAGTTTGAAGAACAAACAAAAATTATGGAACCTGGCAATGAAGCTGTCAAAACTGTAAGATTTTATTGAATTGTAATTATTCATTATTTTACCTTTACTTTGTATATAAGACATAAGCGGATATAATAGACTACATTTACCAACAAAAGCGTCATCCTAATTCACTTATCATTTTTCAGACTGCAGACAAAACTAAGGCTGAGTTAGGAGATAAAAATGTCAACTCATCTTTCACCTTCAGAAAACCTTTCCCAGAAGTTAAAGCAGCGACCTCAGCACGGTTGGGTGGAGCATCACAAACTTTAAGTAAATTTCTTATTCAATGATTTTTATATGATATTAATATTTACACAGTTTTAAGTAAGCATGTAAAAAATGACTTTACTTATTATATCAATATTTGGGTTTTTACACAATTTTAAATAAAAAACTTATATGATGACTGTACACAAGCTTTCAATTTTTTTTTTAATTGACACATTTTTAAGTACATTGAGTGCACAGATATATATATCTATATATATATATATATAAATTTACACAATTTGAAGTAAATATTTATACATGACTATAAATTTAATCTTGTATAATATTACTTCAGATTTTTTTTTATTCAGCATACATAGTATCAACAAAAATTAGAAGAATTAACAATTTATTTGATAACTTAATTTTTAAAAAGACTGATCATAGAATAATATGATGTATTTTTGTACTAAATTATCTATTTTAAAGTACCAACATAGAAGAAACATGATATTTAACTAATGAAATAAATTAAATGACTGAACATACACATGCACATCTATTTATAGCAGAGGCGTAGCAACCCTTCCCGGCGCCCGTGGAGAAACTTTCTATTTGCACCCGCCACCCCACCCTCAAACTTTTCATTTGCACCCCCCCCCCCTCAAACTTTCTATTTGGCGCCCCTCGCTACACCTCTGATTTATAGCCTGAAGTACTTGGAAAACCTGTGGTGCACTATTCCAACAATACTGACAATAAACAAAAACAAAAAATGGTCCCCTACTACATCCGCAGCACTGTTAAATCTTCTTAAGGGGATATGCTATGTTTTTTTCTATTTTTTACAGTTTAAGATCTAAAGCCTTTTGAATACTTTAATCATATTTGGCATATAAAAGTAAGTATTAAACAGCAAAAAAAAAGGTCGAAAACAATTTTGGTTGTCATGGAAACCAAAAAACCTCCGCCATTTTGAATTTTTCGGTACTTTTAAAAATGCTAAGGCTTTTTTATTTATGCATCTATAGTAATCAAATTTAAACTGCTTATATTTCAGTATATATTAAAACTTTTGTCACGACAACTTTTTGAAATAATTACTAGTAAGAATTTTATAAGGTCTAAAAAATCGTACCCTTTTTAGTATTCAAAAGTTTCAAAATGTGCATATTAATTACCAAATACTTTTTTTCTATGAAAGCAATCACAATTCCCTCGTGACAAAAGTTGTATTTTTGCATCAAGAACGTTTACTGAAAATATGGTTGGCATTGTTTAATAAATAAAAAAGTAGTAGGCTTTTTAGTGTTAAAAACCTGCAAACTGAGAAAAACAGCCAAAAGTAACGAAAACTAGGTCAGGAAAGTACCATATCTGTGTAAACTGCAAAGCCGATTGTAAGCTTTGGATGTTTCCGAGATGTAGGAAATTAAGTTTATAAAATACATGAGAAATCCAGCTTTCCAATGATGTCAAATACAATATAATGACGGATATAAAACTTTTCATAGAGAGCTTGTAAGATTGGGAAAAATTGATTATTTTTTAATTAATAGGGTCATAAAAATCGTAATTCAAACACATAAAATAATTTTTTTTTCTTTAAAGTTATTATTTTCTATATACAAAAATGGACAAAGTATCCAAAAGTGCAAGAAACCCATCATGACAAAAAACAAGAAATTTTGTGATTTTTTTCCGCGCATATCCCCTTAAACAAAAATGACAAGAAACAAACCCCTCAAAAAAAAACTTTTAAGTATGTATTCATATCAACCATGTAATGAAGACATTTTATTTTACTCAGCACCACAAACTACATCAACAGAAAAATATGAAGACAGTAAATCAATTCAAGCGGCTAAACAATTTCTACAAACAGCGAGTAATTGGTTGTTTTTTTTTTACTGAAATAAATATATAAAAAAAGAAGCTAAGTTAAGCATGTAATACTTCTACTTTTAAAGTTTATACTTATTTCATTGTTTTAAATATTGTGTGTTAATTTTACATGTATTACAGAAATAATCAGTCGACTAGAACTTATAGAGAAAGCTCTATTTTCTCTTCAAGACAGCAAACAAAAGACTGAAGATGACATATTAGAAATAAAACAATGGAGAGACAACTTGCAGACAGAAAAAAATAATATGGCAGAACAATTTTGTAATCAACAAAAACAAAATCTTGAAAGCCTCAGACAAGAAATAAGAGAACAAGATGACAAAATAAAGGAGCTAAACAAAGAAATTGAGAGTTTAAAAGAAAAGGAAGCACAGTCAAACAAAACACTAGAAAAACTTTCTGTAAAGATCAAAGAATATGAAAACAACTTAAACCCAATAAATCAAGAGATGGAACTTAAAACAGATAGTCTAACACAAGAAGTTAGAATTCATTGCTCTCTGGTGTCTTCTATACAAGACCAACTACAGGAAAACATGCTACATACAACTTGTAACTTAAATGAGTTATATGCTAAGGTAATTAATTAGGTTGTTTTTTGTGTTTACTTATGAAAGCAATATTTTGTTTAACTAGTTTGTAGCCATGTTTAGAAATTTCATTGTATTGTGTTCAAGATGTGTCAGATATTTTACATTGTGATTGTAGGGTGTGTGTTTTCAACAGGTAAACCTCCATTAATTTGGTGAATATCGTACCGTGTTTTGTGTTATACATTTTAATACAAATTAAAACTGACAGGCTTTGTTATTGTCAGAATATAAACTGACCAGATTTATTGTTATTGTAACAGCTAGTATATCATATCCATTTATCATGTCAATGTCATAGGGAAGTAGACTGACCAGTTTTGTTAGTGTTACAGGAGATTTAAAATGACCAGTAACAAGAGTATGTGTCATATTAACCAGTTATTAATTTAAGTTTGCATCATAAAGAATATAAACTTACCAGTTAACATAGACTTAGGTGTCATAGGATAAAAACTGACCAGTTACTAGAGAATTGTGTTCTGTTTGAGATATATATTAATGTATTATAGTATTTATAGGGGATCTACACATTCAAAAGAAATAAATTTTAAAAAATTGTTTTTATTTAATACATTTATCTATATTTTTAAAAAATAGTTGGCCTCTTCTTTGTCATCTTTGAAAATACTTTTTAAATTATTAAATTTAATGTCTTTTTTTTACTGTTCTGCAGTTTGAAAATCAAGCGAAGAATGTTTTGAAGCTTGAAAATCAAGTAAAGGATGTTTTGAAGCTTGAAAATCAAGTAAAGGATGTTTTGAAGCTTGAAAATCAAGTAAAGGATGTTTTGAAGCTTGAAAATCAAGTAAAGGATATTTTGAAGCTTGAAAATCAAGTAAAGGATGTTTTTTAAGCTTGAAAATCAGGTAAAAGAAGGTTTTGAAGCTTGAAAATCAAGTAAAGGATGTTTTGAAGCTTGAAAATCAAGTAAAGGATGTTTTGAAGCTTTCAACACCTTTGAATACAATTAGTAAGTGTAGTAGTTTTACTTTTAAATTTCACATTTAAAATGTAGCTGTTATGCTTATTAATTTTATCCTATTACATTTTGAGATGCACAGTTATACCTGTTTATTTTAGACCACATATTTTCTTGTGGTGTAAAGGTGACTGATTAAATTATCTATAGACAACCTCTAACTGACTTAATTTAATGAGCCTAAACACTTGGATCAATTTATTTCCTACCCCCTGTCTACTGGGAGAATTGTGGCAAGAGTTACACCTCTTGTACACCCTGTCTCTGAACCATAGTGGTTGTCTCTTGACTTAGAATCAACAAATCCAACAAACACATTAGCTAAGAGCTATGTTGTTGATATGTATGTAGTTACCAGCTATGTTGTTTATAAACACCTGAGCTGACCCACTATGTAGCATACGCCGCTTTCTAGTTGTTTTATTTTCTACTTATCAACAATTCATAATTCGTGAATTCAAAAATACCCCACCCCCCTGCTTACCCGCCCAGTGAAAGCAGCCGTTTACAGACAACAATAAAAATATCAAGCAGAACTCATTACCTCCCCTTAGTTTCAAATCATTTAAAAAGAAAATTATCTGCCCCTAACAGCCATCACTTATTCGAACCAGCTCTACTATTGTAAACATTTGGGGTGAACCATAGCTCACCTGACAGGTGGGGATGAGGGTGGTGGATAAGCTGCGTGGTGTCTCGTATGGTCCCCATGAAGAGAATTTGAATTATGTATATAGATTAGCTACCAGCTATGTTATTTATAAATACAATAGCTACATTGACTACTTACAACTATGGATAAGTGTTGCCTTATTTAGATCCACTAAATATATCAATCAGTGTATTACCAATGTGTGATCTTACAACAGACTGTATTGAGGATGTGTAAACAACAGCCGTTTTAAAACATCAGTAGACCTTATAGACATAAAATACATGTCAAACAAAATATAACAACAGACAGTATTGAAGTGTCAGTAGAAATAAATAACTTACTTATGCACACCCTTTTCCCCCTCACCAAACACACGTTTACCTGCTTTCCCCCCCCCTCCCCACACACACACATAAAAACATTAAATTGACACAATCACACAGAAACAAACACATACATTATGTTTAATAATATTAACAATAATTTCACATTTTCCCAACAGAATCCCCTTCATGTAAACCTTACATCTGTCAACTGCACGTTGATAACAACACACCAGTAACCAGGGGAACCATTGTTTCTACATTCTATAATGTTTGGGAATGTAACGGCTGCCATTTTAATCAGACAACAGGCAAGCTTGTAGCACCAGATGATGGCATCTATCTGGTCATTGCAACATTGCTGGAGAATGAAAATAAACTAATTCGAGTGAATGTTTTAATGGGGGATGTGTTATGCAATGAAGTTTTTGTCAAGTCTGCCCTAACATCAGTCTGTGCATCAACTGTTGTTTCCATGAAGAAAGGGGGAGAACTTTTCTTTCAAGTGGTTCAAGCTGATGTAGGGGCAAGGCTACAAGGAGGAAGTGGTTTCACCATTGTTAGATTATAAAAATAAAGTCTGTATTTTACTTACTACATTTAGTGTTGAAAAATAATTTTCTGTATTTTACTTAATACATTTGGTGTTGTAAAAATTATTTTCTGTACTTTACTTAATACTTTTGGTGTTAGATTGAAAAAATAAATGTCTTATTTTACTTAATAATTAATACATTTAATGTAAGATTGAAAAAATTTATTTCTGAATTTTACCAAAAATATTTGATGTTAGATTTTTTTTTTATGTTTATTTTACCAAATAAAGTTGATGTTTTGTTGTTACAAGTTGAAGCTAGAAGGAGGAAGTGGTTTCACCATTGTTAGATTATAAAATTATAGTCTGTATTTTACTTAATACATTTAGTGTTGTAAAAATAATTTTCTGTACTTTACTTAATACATTTGGTGTAAAAATAATTTTCTGTATTTTACTAATTTCATTTGGTGTTAGATTGAAAAAAATTAATGAAATGTCTTATTTTACTTAATACTTTTGATGTAAGATTGTAAAAATAAATGTCTGAATTTTACCAAAAATATTTGATGTTAGATTTTTTTTTTAATGTCTTTTGCCAAATAAAGTTGATATTGTTGATGTTATAAGGAGGAATTGGTTTCACTATTGTAAAGTTTATAAATAAATTTCTTTATGTTACAAAATGCATTTGATGTAAGATTATAAAATACATCTTTCTTTCATAAAATCCTTGTGAAGCAATAAAACCTAGTGAACACAGTTTTCCTCTTTGATTCGCTAAAATAAACAAGAAATGCCATTGGTCAGTTATAGAAGAAATGTATACAATAAATAAATGTTATACATATTGTAGCATGTACAAAGACAAGTCAAACTATAATCACATGTAAAACTTAACAAGGCTTACTAAAATAAAAATGCACAAACAGACAAAACGTGATCAAATTTGGGCATTTATTAAGTATATAGTAATCATATTAACTCAAAGCCATACAGTAAAGTTATATATGTTTATGTCTCTTAAAATTTTAGTCCTTTTTTTACTTGATTCATTGGTAATAGCATTGTGAATTACTTACAAAATTTACACATTGGACACTTAACATATTTCATTTCAAAAAATTACTTTCTCACCCCATAGCTACTATATGAGTATTCTTTTATGCATAGTTCTTATGGCAAGTAAAACTATTGCTCTTATTATGTTTCAGCTCTAAACAATATAATCATAAACCAAATTAGCCCAGTAAAAGTAAATAATTGGAGAAGTAAGACAACGACCACATTTTAGAAAACTAAAAACTGTAAAATTTCTTAATCTACACAAAAATTAACAAACTCGGCGTATAAACAAATGATGCATGTGGTGAATTTCATTTATACATATGTTTTTTTACATAAAATTATGATGTTTATAGTACTTAAAGAATAAAGTTAATTGACCTACCAATAGTCTGGAAATCCTGTGACACTTTAAAACTTCTTTTTCAAGTGTTTGAATCTGGTAGTGGATACATGGGATGTCATATTTCAGACAGTAAAAAAATATTTATATAATTTACAGATACATTTTGATTGGCCATAATCATTGATATACTTTTTGCACAATTCAATACATATATTACACATTAACAGCCTGCATAAAGAGAGTGTTAACATTTACGAAAATTCTGATAACTCAAAATTGATTGAGTCATTTTACCTTCAATATTAATATTATGTACCAAATTTTTTCCTAGAAATAGCTCTTAATCTTTTTTTAAACTGGCTGAAAACACTATAAATTCATTAGATTTGTATTTGCACTATTCTTCAGACACCTAAAACTGTTTCCATCAAGCAGATGTACAAATATAAGTTTAGAATAAACAACAGATTATTGTACTTCATACTTTAATCAAGCATTGTACTTAGGCTACCATGATAAATTTATCATTGATTTGTTCCTTATTTAACTAACTAATGAATAAATATTGTTAAAAAAACTAAAGGTTATTATATTTACTTTGCTTTTGCTGTTATCCACTTGTAAAGTTGAAGTTTGTTCTAAAAAGCATGTGCTTTCTTGTGTAAAATTGTCAGATTTGGGAGTGTAAACTTGTATTTCTTCATTCAAAGTTCATACGTTTTTTTCATATTCTTTTAAATCTAGAGACAGTTTATCTAGCATTGTGTTAGACATTGATACGGTTTCTTTTAAAATTTTTGTTTCATTATTCAGCTCCATTATTTTCTCATTTTGTTCAATAACCTGTTGTATGAAGTTTTGTTTTTGTTTGTTTGTTAAGTGTTCAAATTGTATCCACAAGGCATTTTGTTCTGTTACAAAGTTGTTTCTCCATTGTTTTATTTCTGATATGTTATCGTCTGTCTTTAATTTTGTGAATTGAAGAGAAGATATGTTAGCTTCAATATGTTCTAGCCTTTTGATAACACTTGAATGAATTTCACCTGTTAGTTAAATTTTGATAAAATGTAATATATGCAATGGCATTTGTAGGAAAAAGGGTTATAAAGAAAATGTAATATATTTATTAGGAAAACATACATTGATAGAGATAGTATTCAAAGCTAAAAACATTGAGGCTATAGGAGAGGTAGGCTAATTGATATAAAGTTTCTACATTAAGTTTAAACTTGATTCAAAACTTAATGATTTGGTGATATTAATACGATGTTTTAATGAGGCACATATCAGATCATCAGTGATTTTCTACTCAGTTAAATATGATTAATTTACCTGACATAAGTGTATGAGAGATTGGTTTCGCTTGAGGTGGTGTCAAATATTTAGTTCCTGTTTGTATTTCTTCAGTGGTAGGAAACATCTTGGTGGATTCTGTTAAATTATGTAAGCTAAATATTGATCTTATCTTTGCATAACGCTATATATTGTGATATTTAAATGATGATTAAAATAATTAAATGCAATGCAATTTGTAGATCATGAAAACTTTGTTCATGTTATTTTTCATTGCAAAGTACACATTTTTATTTGTGGGCTATCTTTTTGAGAAATATGTTCAAGTATTGCTTATTAATAACTTACCCATTAACAAATCCATATGCTCTAGTATTATACTTTGCGCTGCTGTTACCATCAGCATAATATCTTTGATTGTTAAATAAGTGTCTGTAGCATTCCCAAGAAATTCTGTTGCTTTTAGTTTAATCTATAAAAATAATTGGTTTTTTTATTGCTAATTAGCATTTTAAAGTAAATTTTAATAATGAGGGCATGTCAATTTTTTTATATTAAAATAAAGTAAAAAATATAAATGTCATTAAAAAAAACATAACGTCCATATTTACCATCTTAATAAATTCACTGAAGCTATTTTGTAAATGAAGACATGATTCCTCTAGCTGACTAAGCTGTGTGTTCAAATATTGCTTTGAGTGATGGGACATCTAGAGATTAAAAAAATAAAACTTTAGTCATGAGCAAACGAAAAAAGCAGTTTGTATAATGTATAATGGTAGACTCGATCCAGAGGCGTAGGGGGAGGGGGGGGGGGGGGTAAAGTCATAAAGCAATGTTTCAAGCCTTTTATTAAATACAATATTTTAACTAACTGCCTGGAAGGTGCAGATAAACACGTCGGTAGTAGCTGTCAAAGTTTCTTCCCCCCCCCCCCCCCACAAAGTAAGTCCAGAGTTTCTTCCAGGCATCTCTTCGGGGGAAGAGGGGAGTGATGAAAGTCTACCGCCCCCCCCCCCCCCGAACGAAATGAAATTTATATAGAAAATATATTTTTTTAACAGTGCCCCCCCCCCCCCCGAAAATTTCAAGTGCCCCCCCCCCCCGGAGAAAAATGTCTGAAGGAAACAGTGAGTAAGTCTACCGCCACCAACCCCCCCCCCCCCCCCACTTCCCCGAAAATACCAAGTGCCCCACCTCCGGAGAAAAATACTGAAAGAAACACAAGTAGATGTTAAGTAAATAATTCTACTTGCAATATTTAACTTACGTTGATGAAGCATTCAATAGAATACATAAAAACAATGTTTTATGATTAGACTAACTCTTTCAAGTATACGCCCACTTTAGGTTTGATTAGAGTTACCTAATATTGGAATTCCCCGATATGACATTGTTATTTATATTTGTATATTCAATGTAAAAAAAAACTTAGTCAGTAATAATAAGTTTTGAAATATGCGGTAAAAATAAAAAAGAAGAGTGCACTACAAATAGACTATATAATAATACAACACTATTTAAATAACTAAACAAACTCGAGAGTCGCGTATACATTTTTCAGGGTATTCGATACTAAATAAGTTTCCTAGGGTCATCCGTTAAGGGTAAGCATCAATAAAACTATCTCATAACTCAAATTACATTGTTCCTTCCCCTTAGTACATTGTGTCAGACAATCCTTCATCACAAGTGGACAAAAGACAAGCATGAACAATTAATTGAAAATGATATAGCAGCGGGGTTGCTTTCTGTAACAATTACGTCGTCCAGGACTGGCAAAATTATATTATTTCCATTTTCAGTGCAGTGTTTCTTTCATACATGTTTCTCCGTGTGGCGGAGGGAGGGAGACTTCACATTTTCGGGTGGCGTGCTTAAATTTCCTGAGGGGGGGGGGGGAAGGGGGTGGACACTGTTAAAAGTATATATTTTACATATACAATCCATGTCGTTCGAGGAGGGGGCGGTAGACATTCTTCGAGGGGACTGGGGGTGGGGCTCTGCCCCGAAGAGATGCCTGGAAGAAACTCTCAGTGTTAGCCACCCCAAAGCTACCAAGTTCCCTGATTCCAGTACAAGCTATAGCATCAACATAACAGGTGAGTTTAATATATCTTTCTCTAGTAGCCTACACATTATAGGAGCATCAGGTTAGTTTGATACATATTTCTATAATACAAACTATAGGAGCATTATTAACATCTTTTTTATCAATTGTCACGCTTGGGCATCTGGTCGCATTTTAATTTTCACCAGTCACTTTATTCACGTAAGTGCCCCTGTAAGAAACAATTTGCATCACTAAAGATTTGTTTCGTGTGTTATTGTAAAATGAAACAATCATTTTAGAATAATCGGATTTTCCCCATATTATTTTATCAGCCTACTGATCATTGATCTAAAAAGTAAATAGGACTCGCAAGCGTATGTATAAGTTCTCTAAATGTTTAAAATATTTCTAAATAAGTTAAAATTTAAATGTTCTCCTGATTTATATTTGACAATAATGAGATTGGAATGTTTTCAGAGTTTCTTCCAGGCATCTTTTCGGCGGCGGGGGGGGGGGGGGGGGGGGCGCCGAATAAAGTCTACCGCCCCCTCCCCTTCCCCGAAAATATATACTTTTAACATTGTCCGCCCCCCGAAGAAAGTCCACTGCCCCTCCCCCCACCTCGAAAATTTCAATCCCCCCCCCCCCCCCCCAGGAGAAAAAAGTCCGGAAGAAACACCGAGTGTTTTGTATAAAGTATAAGTATAAGCTTAGATCTAGATCTACTTCTTTAAAAAAAACAATATTAACCATATTGACTATTTATTGTTGACATTAGTTACTAACTACCTAAACTAAACTCTTAACTCTAAGATCTAAGTTGTTAATATAATTTTAATGTTGTTTTGTTTTGTTATTATTATATTTATATTAGTATTATTAATTATTAGCTTATACAATATTCTGAATTTAGCCTTTAAACTTTCTGTTTTAACTTAGTATATACTATATATATGGTATAGCCACCAATTTCTAAATTTATAGCCTAAAATGTTAGGGTTTGGGTCTACCTCACCACCAACTTAATTGATAAAAATTAAATCCCTATATACTATATTGTACTTAATTATACATGATTTTTATAGTTCTATTCTTATAACAGCTACATATGTTTGATAATAATAGGGGCATTCACTACAGTATTAATAGCATTATTGCTAACTGCTAGATCTAGTTTACAATTATTAATTATTTTAGTGGCATTAGTAGCAATTGGTTAGCTGGATCATAGATCTAATGGTTGGTAATATAATGTTTAATATTCAAATGATATACCTTATAATATTTCATAAAATAGTGTACATATGAAATAATTCTATCATTAATTTGCAATTAATGTATGCAACTAGTAATTTTAAGTAAATAATTAGGCCTATATTTTAAGAGTTTAAATGTAATTTTACAACATACTAAAAGTAAGAATAAATTTGCCAGAATTTATGAAAAAAAAAAGAACATTTTCAAATCTTACTTAAATAAACTCTACACAGATGTCTGACCACCTAAAGAAATATTTAACTACACAGCTGGAGCTAATCGACGAGTCAAGTTTTCATCTACATAGTAGGATCAGTGATTTTATACAGCAGGTAAACTGACTAGACATATTCAAATTTGGTTTTGTTAGTAATGTTGTCATTTTAATTAGTTGTATTTTAAAGTAAAATAATGTAACATCACAGTATATGCCTACAATTCATACCTATAGCAATTGACAAGTCTCAATGTATTTTTTAATTATTTTAAATACTGAATGCAATCAATATTTAAATTATTTAGTATTAAACAAGTTTGGATGAAATAATAGATAGACCTTACCTGCATTTTGTTATTTTAATAGTATAACTACATAAACACACAGACATGTTCACTGGTATGGTGATCATTTTATATTTTACATTTTTTTTTATTACACTTGTATTTACTTTTTACAAATTTGTTTAATTTTTTAGCTTATAAAGCTATTATATTTTGTAACACTTACCAAATTATAATTTCTTTAACTTTTATAAACTACTTCACACTGACTATTGAGTCACTATTGTGAACTTCGTTTGTAACAAATTATCAATTTTAAACTGCTGTCACTGAGTGTACAAATAGAGACACTATGGCCAATGCTTTACTTAATTTAATTCAATGTTGACTGATGTGCATCATGTTTGTATCTTCTTAACAGAATCCACAAAGATGACAGGATATAAGACAACACTGGAAAGTAAAAGTTTAAAATTAACAGAAGAAAATATTTCAACAGACTTTACACCTGGTTTTTTTTTTTCTTATTAAAATTTTGCATCACTACGTTTAATCCTAACGACAAATTGTATTGCAATGTGCATTAATACATTTGTAACATAATAGTTGTGTACCCTAATTTAAACTTATTTGTATGTAGCCTACAGAATTAAAACAATACCCAATGAAGACAAATATGCATTATAAAGCTTTTAATAAAAATGTAATGCTTGATAATGATCACAATAAAGCTAAACAAATTTGAAAATTATGAATTGTTATCATATTTCTCAGCTTAATTTTACATTTTATCTAAAGTGGCAAGTCATACAGAAACAATAAGAAGACTTAAAGATATAGGAACAACATTAACTTCTCTACAAGATGCAAAACAAAAGACTGAAGATGACATCTCAGAAATAAAACAATGGAGAGACAATTTTGTAGCAGAACAAAGTAATATGACGGTAATATTTTAAAATATGTCTAAGAAACAAAAGCAGAATTTAAAAAACATAAGAAAACAAAAACATGAACAAGACAACAAAATAGAAGAGATGAGCTAATTAATTGAAAAATTAGAAGAAAAAGAATCAACACCAAACAAAGCACTAGAGGAACTGTCTCTAGATTTGAAAAAACATGAAAAAACCTTACACAAAATAAACAAAGAGATCCAGAATCACACAGACAAAACTGAATATTTAGCTCAAGAAATTAAAAGAGTTTCTCAATTAATCTCTACAACGCAAGAAAAATTACTGTTTAAGGTGATATTGTAGAGTATTTATGTTAATCACATGAGAGTTATTGTTCTAATAATTACAAGCAATTTGATTATGTTATATACCTGATATAATTAAATTATAAAAAATGTTCAATTGTGTGAAATGATGACAGTAAATCTACTCAACAGCATAGTGTGGTTTGTCAACTGCTACAACAAAGATTGTCGCCTATTGACAAAATGATTCAAGCAAGTAACAAATACTTAGAGACTACCAAGAAAAATATGAAGAAGGTGAAATGACACATTTATTTAAGTATTTATTTAGTTTTAAACATTTCGCATACACATTTAAGCATTTATAAAATAGACATATTGTGCATTTATTATATTAAGGTAAACATTAGAAAACAACTCAAATGATGACTTTTATTAAAGACTTCATTACCTATGTCATAACTTAATATTTTTATTTTTAGATTGAAACTCTGGAAAAAAAATGTTTTATAGTTGTCACAGGATTTTCAGAAAATTGGTTGGTAATTTATATGTAAGAGCAAATATGTTTAATGACATATAAATCTGGTGGAAACAAAAGGTAAACTTAGAATAAATTAATAAAATATCTTGTGTATTCTAGCTTAAGTGAACTTATATTATGTATTTTATGTGGTTTTGTTTTAATCAAGTGTCTTTTAACATCTTTACATTAATTTATTCTTTTAGCATGTTTTAAAATTTCTTTAGATACATGTTTCCAAAATAAAGTTCTATTTAGTAATTTCTTTCATTATTATTTATGCTTTAATAACAAAAGTCATTTAATGTCTTTACATTTAATTTCTTCTATAGACGTATGTAAACATTCCTTAGGTGCATGTTTGTCAAATAAAATTCTATCTAGTAGTTTTTTTTTCAATGTTGCTTTCAAAAGACAAATAAATTATTTGTCTAAGTAGCTCTGTCTGTTGGCATTTTGTAAATAGTGTTTGGAACCATTTTAAAGATAATGGAACATGTTTACATGACAAATGCATTAAAATTAAAAATTTTAAGTCAGTAGAACCTAAAGTATTAAAAATGTTAGCATTTTGATTTCGCTGACTTTATGTGTTACAGAGTGACCTCCTCTTAAACCCTTCAGAAAAATATTAAATTATTTGTGTCTATTATATTTTCTTGTTAGACTAAACTAATTAGATTAAACTTCTTATTAATGAATTTGGACCTGGAAATGTATTATTGTCTTCTTTGATAGCCTGTATGAGTATTAAATATATTTATTTCTTTATATTTTTTGATATTTCATTGCGCATGCACATTCTGTTAAAAGCAGCGATTACCGATTGCTAATCGAGGCACCACATTTATAGGCCAATATCTATACTTGTAATAAAATTAAATTGTCATTTTGTTTTAAAATTTTATTTTTTTGCAGCCAATCAACAAGTGAAACATCCAGCACCGGGCTTTATTGCTTCACAAGGTCGCTGGGACGGGAAAAGATATGACAAAGTTATTACATTCAGGGCTGTAGAACGTAACATAGGAAACCATTTTGATCCAAAGACTGGAGAGTTTACCGCCCCTGTTGATGGCCTGTATAAAGGAAGTCTTAGAATAAAACAAGCAGGAGATCGTGCTGTACAAGCTGGTGTTGGGCACAGATGTGGTGGTGTGGTGACATGGCTCGTTATGGTTGAGACAAAAGCAAAATGCTTTGAAGCTTCAACAACTTTTGAGGTTTATATGAAAGCTAGAGATGTATTATTTTCATTCACTGAATATGATGGTTGTGAATGTACGCATTTTTCTTGTGTTTTTCATGACGTCTAACGTCAATTTTTTCTTTAATGTCTTACAGACTTAATATTGACGACAATCTAAAAATTTATACATTAATAGTTGAGAATTCTTTTAGATATTCTATACAGTTACACGCGAAATTTGACTTATTTTCTCCTCCAAAGGGCTAATATTTTATACGTTGCTAATGTAACGAAGACATATAAACTTCCCATAAACAAAATAAAAGTAATATTAAACCTAAATAGTTTGCCTTTATGTATTATTTCAAAACAAATGTATCTACTTGTGCAATAAATAATGTAAAGTTTTAATGAAAAAAAATTCATTGTGTTATTGATTAGCGTATTTGACAGTTAGGTCACTGACGTTGGCTGTATAAATTCCCTCATCAAAAATGTAAATAATTAAAAACCAAGAAACATAAAATATTTCAACGCAAAAGTAAGTCGTCAATTTTATTTGGATTAAAATATAAACAGCTTAGTAAAAAGTAATATTTTAAAATATTTTCTCGAATTCCCTAAAAATGAGTTCCAGTTGCACAACAAGTAATGTATTAGCTAGCATCCAAAAGGTTTGCTTCACACAGGAAATTCAGACTTTCGGGACTGCTAAAGACATTTATTATTGAGATTGATCGTGTTATCATATTAGTGTGTTGTAAAAAAAAATCCATGCAACGCATCTGGTCTCAAAGATTTCTTTTAATAAGTCGGTGGTCTCAGATACGAAAAAACATATAGTAAGAAAAATAATTTTGAGATGGAATGTTAGTCTTTAATTTTTTAACAGTATAGTTAACTAAACTTTTTGTGTACCTACAAAATAATTTTGTAATTGTATTTTGTCTTATCTTAATCTTCACTTATGTATTACTTCAGTACTGTTGGACTGGTGTAGATGCCGTTTGAAGAAATCGAGTTAATTTTTAGAAATAAAGTATTTGAAACCGCTCTGTTTTTTCTTAATCTATTTGCAACATAGATCCAGGTGTTTGGTTGTTTTGTGTGTGTTATTTTTTATGTTAAAAAATAATAGTCATTGCTTTAAGTATCAATCAGTTTAATGCAAATAAAAAAAGTCAACAGATACGTTTTATAATTTTAATAACATAACAAACGAAGAGCCCCTTTACGAGGTTGAAAGTGGAGGACGAAATCAACAAAAACATCCCACTATTTGGTCATTTTATAAAAAATAAGGGGACGGAACTAAAACTGTCTCTCTCTATTAATGTTGTATTTTCTTTATGATTTCCCATATCCCGAAACAATGTAGCCAACTGTAATGAAAATTTGCTGCATAAAGTTAAGACACGGAAACATTATAAAGTATAATCTACCGTAGAACAAAATACAAATTAAACTATTTGAATGATTATTTACATTAATTTAGAACAAAAGTCTACGCATTTACGCGACATTAAAATACACTAGAAAATCTGGTACACATGTGTGTGCGACACTGTGCGAGCCTTGTATAATATGCACCAGGGGATACTACCCAACACTACTGAAGAATGTATAATTTTAACTGTTGTCTCCCTTAGACCAGTGTATAAGATTTTATTGATCTGATCATCTGCAGTTCCCAGCGTCTCATGATTAACGTTTTAGTAAACAAAGTTAAAATTCTCTACGTTGTTACAGAACAAGCAGTCACACTGACATGTCTCTAGTTTATAGGCTACGTCATGATTAATGTTTTTTGTTAACTCACAGTACCTGATTAGAATTAGTCCTTGTTTAGATGTTATTAAACTAAGTTTATTAGTTAGTAAGTAAAGTTTCGTTTCGAACCTTAGGGGCCAGTTTATGTGACCTCGTGAATGGATAGTACGGTGAACACTGTGCCCAACCGCCTTGCGTGCTTTCTATATAGAAATGTATGTGCTCTCAAACAATTCCATACAGTTAATATTGAATAACTTATATAGTGTTTAGTTTTTAGTTGATTATTTGGTACAGAAAAAGTAATATATTTCAAACGTTTACTAACAACATTAAAAATGTGATGCTTCGTCTTTAAAATGTTATTTTAATGGGGATTGCTAATTGCAACATAACCAACAAAAATAAACAAACTTAATTTTTTAAATAATTTTTTTGTAAAGGTTGTTATAAATAATACAATAATTATAATTTGTAAAACAATTAAAAAGAATGAATATAAAGAATAAGACACTTTTCTTTAAATAAACAATTTCTGGTAACCAAATCTTAAGTTGTGTATGTTTTCGCATTTGTGTGAAAATAGACTTTAATCCTTTTGTTCTTTGAACTCAGTGATGTAGGCCAATATGACATGCACTATTTATGAAACATATGTTTGAACTTAAAACTAATCATATTTTTTTTCCTATTAAGAAGGATTATATGAATGCGATTATGAAGCTGGTGGGGTTCGTTACCTCCACCAAAGTTTAAGAACCACTGATATAGAGATTATAGATAGTGCGAGAACAACCAGGGTATGTGGTTACCTTTAAAATTTAAATATTTAAAAATAAATACAGAAATAGAGATTGAATAAAAAGATTCACTCTGCATTTAATTATTTCGTATTACACAACATATTTTTACTTTTCTTTTTTTTTAATTAGAAAAACTTAATATTCTAAAAATAATTCGCTGTAATATAAAAATTGATTTAAGTTGTTTTTAACTATTGGATTTTCCCGATATTATGTGTTGGCAGCTTAAAGGAACTCTAAACTCAACATTTAGCTGTAGTGATTCTAAAATATTCATTATTATAATCTTAAAAGTAAGAATGATGTGTAGAGACATATACTTTATGTCTCAACATAAAATATAACGTGCAGTCTGTTAACAATGTACATGTTAGCTATATAATAACTATATATTATTTATTTTAAGATTTAAATTGTACTGTCCAGTGTTTTAGAAGGTTTCAGTTTCATTTTATTATTAGCCCATAATATTTTATATTTTTATATTGAGTAGATATTTCAAAAATTTACTTCTAATGCTAAAACTAAGGTAATAATAATATAATATAATCAACTTTATAGATTTCAATCTTGGTGGAGATTTTAAAGCCTTTGTAGACACTAAATAACAATTTTAATAACATTTTGCAGATGTCTGACAAATTAAAGAAACATTTAAATAATCAACTTGGGTTATTGAATGAATCAAGCTTAGATCTACAGAGTAGCATCAGCAGTTTTATACAACAGGTAAATACAAATGCATAGTGAACGTATCATGTATTTTTAATATTCTGTTCTATTTAAGCAAGGTTAACAGTAAAATGTATTATCTAATCAAAAATCTATTATAAAATATTATTTATAAAAAAAATAATAGTGTAAAGTTTTATTCTTGTTTAAATATATCATCCAGTTCTTTGAACTTAAGAAAGTCTAACACTCCCCAAGCGAAATGGAATTTATATTAGGCATATACACTTTTAACAGTTTTAACAGTGTCTGCCCCCGAAAATTTTAGTCACCCCCCACCCCTCCAAAACAAATGTCAAGAGCTACCCCCCCTCACCCCAACTCCCTAACCCTCAGGGAAAAAGTCTGGAAGAAACACTGCAAGCAATGTAGTTTATTTCAAAGTAATGCTTATAATGTTATTCAGGAATTATTTATTTATTTTTGTATAAATTATTCAGATCAAATATGAATAAAATAAACTTCACTTTATAGGTTACAAAAAAAGCTATGGAATATATAGACAACACAACTGACACCAATATGACAGTGAAAGATGCACTTGTTATGGTAGCTACAGCACAGAGTGTAATATTTGAACATGTGAATATGATGAATGGTATGGTGATATTTATGTCTATGGTTATTCATGTAGTTAATGTCTTCATACATTAATTATTTGGTGAAATAAATTTATATATATAGATCTTATATATATATATATATATATATATATATATATATATATATATATATATATATATATATATATATATATATATATATATATATATATATATATATATATATGTATATAGGGGGGGCTATAGGGGGGGCTATATATATAGGGTGAGATTAAACCTATATATATATATATATATATATATATATATATATATATATATATATATATATATATATATATATATATATATATATATATATATATATATATATATATATATATATATATATATATATATATATATATATATATATATATATATATATATATATATATATATATAAAAGTTTATATTTGAAACTATTTATCGATACTAGTGTGCCTTCAATTTTTCTCTAAAACTGCTGCAGCTTACAAAGTAAACTTTTGACAATAGAAATTACTTTCCTTCACATTGATATAATATCATGTTGACAGAAACCACCAAGCTTTATCCTTTCACTGTGATGACAGGAGACCAGACAACAACTGAGAGTAAAAGTTTTATCCCAGCAGGTGCTCAATATGTTTCTACAGTGCCTATGTCTGGTCAGAATTTTTTTTATGTAATTATAAATATTTACCACACCACAAATAAACATTTAATTAAAATGGAACAAAAACAAATAATATATTATTTTTTTACAGTATTTGATAATAAATTAAACATATATATCTTTACGCAACCACTTATTTAGTGTTTTAACATCATACATTAAAACTGATCAAATATATTGATCTTCCTACATCCATTTAAATTATATATCTTTATAACATTCGAATATACTATTATAATTGTTATCACACTTTATCCTTACTATTTAAGGTGATACGGAAACAATAATAAGACTAAAAGATATTGAAACAGCTTTATCATCCCTTCAAGACACAAAACAAAAGACTGAAGATGACGTATCAGAAATAAAACAATGGAGAGACAAATTTGTAACAGAACATAGAGACTTGGGGATAACAGTTGAAAATTTGTCTAAGAAACAAAAACAGAATTTTAAAAACTTAAGAAAACAGTTAAAAGAACAAGATAACAAAATAGTAGAACTGAATGAACAAATTGACAGTTTAAAAACAAAAGAACCAGAAAAAGACAAAACTATGGAGAAACTGTCTCTAGATATGAAAGAATATGAAAACAACCTGCACACACTAAATAAAGAGATGAGAGTTTACATAGATAAAACAGATCATGTAACACAAGAAATTAAAAGACAATCTGATTTGATATCTGCTATACAAGATGACACAACAAAAACATTTGATACATTATTATCTAAGGTACATTTGTAATAATATTTATATTAATGCATTATGTTCAATTAGTGGCAACATTGGCATTGTATTTTTATTGCTTATACCAATGTATGAGTTATAACACATTTGTAGTATTAAACTATAGTCTGTGTTTACACATACACCCTTGTGGCTCTACAGCCTCAAATGACGTTGGTTTGCTTTACAACATCCTCGAGTATAAAATTATCTGTTTATTTTGTTTTCCACATCTGATCTTTGTACTATTGTATGTATGTCTCTACCATCTGTACATCAAAGTCTAGGTCTGTCTGATGGTTATTTACAATTGTGTTGGTTAAACACTATCTTAGTACTCTTGACTTGTACTCTTAATCACTAAACCATTATTTTATACGTAGTAAAATTTCTGTCAATAATGTAGTGTGTTTTATTTATATCAACCATTTATCAATACATTTATTAACAATGAACTTTTACATTTCTTCTCTTTAGCATGTTGTGATGTGTAAACTTTTACAGCAAAGATTGATGCCACTTGACAAAATAGTTGAAACATATAATCAAAACTCTGAGACTAGGGAAGAGAAAATGAAGAAGGTAAATTAAACTCATATTTTTTTAGCTAAACCCAATTTTTAATATTTAACTTAGAATTCAAAATAATATACTTCATTTGGTTAAAAAGAAGTGCTCATTTAATGTATCTTGATCTTTTATTTCACTATTTTAATAAAGATGTTACCAAAACAATTTTAAATATCAAAAATATATATTATTTTTTAGTAATAAATTTAGAATGTTTGTAAGCTTTAGTTTCCCCATATATCACAACTGCCACATGTGTTTATTGTTTTGCAGTTCGCCTAGTTAAAAAAAATTGATGGATTGAGTTGTGTTCTTTTTATTTTGATGTTCATAGTTTGTTACACATAATGTATTTCGTAACTGTTGTTCTGTTTTTAGATTGTAAATCTGGAAATAGAAGTTTTAAAGCTGTCAAATGATTTTCAATCAATTGGTAGGTTATTTCTCTTCAATATAAATTTACAATATAATCATGAAATACTAATTAAAATTGTTTTTCATTTACCAGAAAACACAATGATTATTATATATGTTAATGTACCTAACTTTTTATGTGACTTGTTTGTTTAATCTATCTCTCTATCTATATAAATAAAAAGCAATGTATGTTTGTGTGTGTGTCTTTTATGCATTACTACATCTCTCACAACATCTCCGTGAAACTTTGTGAAGTTGTTGTGAATATACCTGGGGAGGTTTCTACGAAAAAAAATATTTCAAATTCGCAATTGTTTTTTCTCAATATACGGTATATAAAAATTTAAGTCGATTGCGGTTTCTCTCCGTTCATTCGATCGCCATCAAACTTTGGGGTGTTGATTAAAACACTCCAGGGAAGGGTTATACAAACAAATCTTCTTTTTTAATTTCGCAAGGGCGGCGCCACGGGGGGGGGGGGGGGGGTTGCGTTTTCTCTCATATACGGTACATAAAAATAATAAAAGTGAATTGCGGTGACACCGTTCACACGATCGCCATGAAACTTTTGGAAGATGTTGAGAATATTCCTGGGGAGGTTTCTGCGCTAAAAACATTTTCAATTTCGCAGGGTTGGCGCCCTGTCAGGGCGCGATTTGTTTTCTCTTTATATATGGTATATAAAAATAAAAAGCGATTGCGGTCTCACAACGTTCATCCGATAGCCATCAAACTTCAGGGACTTGATTAGAACACTCCAGGGAAGGGTTCTGTAAAAAATCATTTTTAATTTCGCATGGGCGGCCCCACGGAATGGTGGGATTTTTCTCAATATGCATTATATAGAAATAAAAGACGATTGCGGTTCGACGCAATTTATCCCAGTGCCATAAAACTTTTAGGGAGTTGATGAATACTCACAAGAAGGTTTCTGGGGTGGGAGTGGGGAATAGGGGTGGTGGGGGCGGGGAGATTTAATTTTGCATGGGCGGCCCCCGGCAGGATGCGATTTTGCGCCCTGGTCTTTCCCGTTAGCGCTATGGTGATTACGATCGGTCTAAACAGCTTGATAGACAATGGATAGGATGGGGCGTTACAAACGCTCACTAAATTTAATCAGGCGTGTCCTCTGGCGCCCTGGTAGGGTGCGATTAGGCTACAAATAAAAATATCTGTTTCGGTCCCCAAAGGCTCACATGGACCGCTGAGGGCCATGTAATACGTTTTATATTAATAATCAGAAAAATTATCCAAGGTTAGATTATTAAGTGGGATGTTTCTTTTTTTCCGACAAAAAATCCAAACAGTTTCGCCACTTTGCGAATGATGCAATTGGCATCTATGTTTAGATAATCCAATCAGAAATTGAGATCGAGCATCTAATAATAGACCATTAGTAACGCTAGCATATTGCATCAGTCACCCTGATGTTTAAAAGAGGTCAAATGATTTGTTTAAGAGTTAAAGAAAAAATCCTGTTAATTTGTGTCACTTTAGTGAATGACGCAATCTGCATCATTGTTGACAGGATGTTATTTGGCACGATGGCGCCTGTTAGTTTTAAGGAGCCAGGGGTCGTACGCCGCGCCTATGCGGTAGTGTAATCGGGGGGGGGGGGGGGCTCCTGAGAGTGATTAATGTACACTCAAGGTTTTCATGTGGTAGTGTAGGTAAACCCGTGTCCCGATATTTAAGATCCAAGCGCAGGCATTGTTTACATTTAAATAACCCACTTTTAGAAAAGTAGGTCACGCGTCTAAGAACATATGATTGGTAACGCGTTGGTGAAATCCTTCTAATATATTTCGTCAAACTTTCTTCTATCCGGCAACGCGCGGGGACGGGTACGCTAGTTATGTAAAAAAATGTGGAACTTAAACCCTTTTTACAAGCTTTTATTTAACTTGCTTCCTCTGTCTGTCTAGACCGAAACACCGGAGTGAAAATTCGGACAGTTCTACTTGACCGATACGATTCACATTTGACACGTGTGTCAAGACATGAAGACAATGCAATCTGAAACTAAATTTGACTTAATTGGATGCCTAATTAATTTTCTATGAATTAATTAAAATTTGGACCGAATTAGTAGGCATGTCTAACCAACCACACCACGCGCGTCATCACGTTCAATAGCCGCGCCATCAGGTTTAATAGCTGCACCATCACGTTCAATAGACGCGTAATGGTTTTTAGTCATGTAACACTATTGTAAATAAAACATGTAAAGTACTGAATTTTTTTTTTATAAAAAACGTTTAAATAACAAGCTTTTATGTAATTATGCACTAAAAAGTAGAAAATAAATTATACACTACTATTTAAATTACTATAAAGAAAAGCGTGGGTCTCTTCTCAAATATAAGAAAAGGTATCCAATAGGTACTAAAGTACAAAAGAGACCCACGCTTTTCTTTATAGAAATTTAAATAGTAGCGTATAATTTATTTTCTAGTTTTTAGTGCATAATTACATAAAAGCTTGTTATTAAAACATTTTTTATGAAATTGTATTATTCTTAGAATGCTTCAAAAGAAAGTTAGATCATATAAACATATTGATAGACTGCGAAAATCGCTCGTTATAGTATTAATAAACATATTTGTTTATAAAAACACGTTTAAGGATTTTGTTTTTCAAGATAATTATCTATAGTTATAGCCTTTGTTAATTTAAATCAATTAGACACAGGGGCGGAAATACAGTGCCACCAGATCCCGCAATGCCAGAACGGAGGGGGTGGGGGCACGCCATTTAGCGGGCCCACAGCTGACCATAATCAATTGTTTATATTTACAAAAATTTAATTTTCTTGTATTGTTTACTTGATGCTTGTTTTGTAAAAAAAGAATACTGTAGCTGTCGTTTGATTATCTTTATTCTGTAGACATCATCCTACGATCTTGTATATTCCTTTTCCCTTTGTTTTTAAAACATTGTGATATATTGGGGGGGGGGAGACATTTTTTTGCGGGGTTTCCCTTTTTTCTAGTTCCGCCACTGATTAGACAGTTAAAGTTATATGCTTATGGTCTTGTTTTATATAGAATTATGTTATTGCCAAAATTAATTATTGCATTGTTTTTATTGCAAGATACTTTTATCTATCGACCAATATCTACTGTGCTAGACGTCTTTGGTTACTTTAGAAAGGGAAACAATCCACCTAAACCAATTGCCAATCAATGTTAGTCAATAGTACGAGAGTGATAAAATAAAAGTATTCTGTTCGGAGCTGAGCCTAC